TCGTGACTGTCTTGGACACACACACACACGACAGTTGTTCAGAGCTAGACCGCTCACCATGTATGACTATGTCCTCTCATGTGGTTGGCCAATTGATCTTTTGCATCCCGGTTGCTCAGTTTTGTCAGTTTTTTCAATACACCTCCTCCCTCACGGTGGTGTCCTTGCTTCCCGTTCGGAATGGGTTAAGTTGCAGTCAGGTGTTATTATAAGTAGTCGGATAGCATTAGCAAGTTAGAGACGTTGAGATCAACACGAGTAATAACTTAACTAACGTTCAATTGAACTAATATGACCATCCGTGGAATCGTCTCCTGGGCACCAGCTTCCATGCAACGTAGTTCCTCGAAGTTTCATCCGCACTTCTCCATCTGTACATGTGCCCGTGTGGCTTAAAGCAAGCAGACCATCATCTCTTTCATCCACCATTAGAGCTATCGTTATATGCATACAATATAGGCGATCAAATTGTCCAGCCTGTCACATCACTCAACTCTTTCAAGTCAGGTACATCTATTCCTCGCCGGTGAGTGTGGCAATTCCTCTTGTGTGTTTTGATTACCTTGACAGCTTCAATCCTTTACCTCAGGAGATCAGCCCGTTCACAGCTAACAATGAACGATAAGAAGGTAAGTGAAATGAACTAACAGCAACAGTAAATAACATATAGTGCGTGCCATAGTCCGATGGTTTGTCTGACTCAGTTTGTACAGAGGGATCACAGTAAGCAAATAGCCGTTCAAAGTATTTATAAACATTGTGGTTCCATCAGATGCATGCAGTCGAAATGCAGTGGAGTTGATATCGAAATCGATTTTACTGAACTTCACGAGTGTGTTCTCGGTATGTCTCTGGTTTGGGCGTTGACTTCTGTCCTTGGTCAGCACTGACTTGATTTTCGGGGGGCGGAGGGCATTTGAGTTCTGTGAAACAATTCCTATCCAGGCTACGAACAAGGGAGAATGTACTTGTCTTGCATAAACCAAAATGCGTGAGAAAAGTAAGCGAGTCTAAGAGAGAGCAAACAACCTTCATGGATTAATGATACCGCTTTTGAATGCTTTGTCCGGCTACAGAGATATCCCTAATATTGAAATTGCGTTTTGGACGTTAAGAACCCTGATTTCGAGCTTTTTGGTGTCGGATTTTTGATGCTTATAACAAGAACACTATCGCCGGCACTGTGCGCATTACGGTGTATGAATCCAAATTAGAAGCATTAGCTAACCTTCATTCTTCGAAGCCAAACAGCATCCAGTCCAAGAGCGCAGTAGCTTTCTCTTTTTACCGTGTTCGTAGAGTATCGAAATAATTTTGTGTGTGAAGCTTCTCTGGATTCTCCATAGCAAGCTGATCTATTCTGCATAAATTGGTATAGACCACTGTGATATACTCAAAACCGAACTTACTGGCACTCGGGTATCTGCTTGTTGCGGTGATTCCAAACAGGCACTTTTACCGGCCATGCTTCAGGCGATTACAGCCTAGTCCAGCTTTGCTTATTTACTGCGATTGTAAAATATGTGCATTTTCACCTAGACTGGTTTGCATAAGCAAACCCTGAATTCGCATTGTGTGAATATACTAACTGAACATGTCGAAAAGTGAATGTTGGTAGATACGAAGATTGGGCTGGGCAAACGAATGTTTCATAGGTACAAAGACTAAATGTTACATGCTCGCAGAGGTTGGCCGGAAACAGGAATATGTCTTGGATACAAAAACCGACCGGAAAATGAATGTCTCACGAGTGGAAATGCTGCTCGAGAATGTGCACTGGTCTACCACAGGTCTCAGCGGCTTACATAACAAATCTGTATTGTTAACCTCTTTCAGTGCATTCGAACAACTCAATTGGGTGACCCATCACTTCGAGAGATGCTTAGATCACTGACCTGAGTACAATTCGGCTTTGAGAATACTCACCGGAACTACTATACACTGCTGCTACTACTATATACGTTACTTGGAAAGCTTCGCGCACGTCTGTTGGCTGAGATCGTTTAATTCCTTACCGACTAGAAAGCTGCTAATTGTTAGGCGGGGTTTCTAGTTCCTGTACACGACGGAATCATTTCTCTGACTTTGTGCTTCACATAGTAATCTGTTGCTCTTGTGTGCTGTTCGTTAAAGGCTCAGAAACCGCTTCGACATTTTGAGCAGTACTCACATCATCGACTGAAAATCGCTTATGACACATCTGATCTATTTACTGTGTTTTTCAGACTATAAGGCACACTTAAAATCCTTCTATTTGCCGAATTTTTTTATTCGGCAGTGCGTCTTATGTATGAATGGTGGTGCTAAGGCCTAGTTACCCCGAATCATTTTCTATGTTCACACTGCGATGAAAAATCTGTCAAAATGTTTTATTACGACTTTGATTGTCCAATCATAATCGCTGATCAGGAACCTCGTGGAGTCAGCTTTCTATGTTGTCTAGACAGACTCCGTTTGGGGGTGTGGGACTCTGTGCAGGAGCCAGCTGATTCGAGCTTTTCTGGCGACGATAAACCAACCAACTATTGTACCATCCACACTGATATCCCATACTGTGATATATGTGATGGTTACTCCCCTCGGCAAACTTACTTGGTCCAACAATGCACCTTGCAGTGCCCAAAACACGCACTTGCATCTTGCTGGTTGCAGGTGTGTGTTTGAACACACGATCTGCGCTCATACCAGTGTTCCAAAGACAGTCGGCGACGTCCGTGTGAGCTTCACTCACATCATCGTTCAAACAGGTTTTTGGATAGACAACCGGAACTTACGTCGTCGTGCGTGTACTACGAAGTCAGTAACAGTGCACATACGGAGAAATGCGTGATAACATTCGATGTGATCAACAAATGAGGTCAAGCACGATAACATTTTTCAGTGCCAGTCGCATGCTGGCGATCAAAACGAAACTTGTTCGCTTACCCCGACCACTATTTCTGTTACTTGATGGGCTTCCACATACCGGTAATTAAGGACCACCAAATGACACCAGTTACGAGACATGCTTACAAAGTGGATTTCAAACTCAAGGCCATCAGCCACGCAGAACAACATGGGAATAGATCAGCTGCGAAACAAATCAACCTTAATGAATCAATGGTACAGAAGTGGAAGAAGCTAGAACATGACCTGAGCCAAGTAAAGAAGACAAAGAAGAGTTTCCGAGAGAACAAAGCAAGATGGCCACAGTTAGAGGACAAAATTGAGCATTGGATTACTGAACATAGAACAGCAGGTAGAAGCGTCTCTACGGTCTTCATTCGATTCAAGGCAATAGCGATGACACGTGATATATGAAGATGAACGACTTTCAAGGAGGTCCTTCTTGGTGCTTCCGTTTTATGAAAAGGCATCTCCATCCGCACAAGAGCTACCACCTCGCAGCAACTGCCAAAGGATTACGAAGAAAAGTTGGCCATCTTCCGCACTTACTGCAAGATCAAGATCACCGAAAAGAAGATCCAGCCAGACCACATCACGAACATGGATGAGGTTCCTCTCAGTTTTCACACCCCCGTGTACCGTACTGTTGAAAAACGGGCTTGTACTGTATCTATACACACCACAGGGAACAATATATCATCCTTCATTGAAGTTCTCGGTTGCTAGACTAATGGCCAGAAACTACTACCCATGGTCATTTTTAAGAGGAAGACTTTGTCAAAAGAAAGCTTTCCTATTGGGGTCATCGTCAAGGTCAACCCAACAGGCTAGATGGACGAGGAGGAAATGAACGAGTGGCTGAGAGAAGACCGGATGGCTTTTCCACACATCCCCGTCATGATTGATCTACGACTCCATATGCACCCATCTCACCGAAACTGTCAATCGCCAAGTGAAGAAAACTAGTTCAGAGTTTACCATCAAGCCGAGTGGATTAATCAAAGAACTCCAACCGCTACATATTGATGTCAACTGGTCGTTCAAAGTTAAATTGCGAGCTGCGCGGGGGCATTGGATGACAGTTGTGCACACCTTTACCACGACAGAGAGGCAACGCCCGGCTAGTTACGCCACTATCTGTCAATAGATCGTCGATGCCTGGGCCAAGCTATCGGTCTAAACTGTCGTCCGAGCTTTTACGAAGACCGGAATCATCAATGAACAACCAAGCAACAACAACGAGACTGACTCGGATGATGACAAGAAAGATTCGGGCTTGCTTGATGCCGCTATCGCCCAGCTGTTAAACTCCGACACTTTAGATGAAGAATTCGACGGATTTGCAGAAGAGGAATGGCTGAAAAAGTGAGTGTATTTTTTGTGTGTGTTACAAGTGAACCATATTGACAGTTATTGTTAATGAGCTGAATTAAGTCTGACCTATCCGACTATTTTGTTTCGCCTTATGCGCCTTATATATGAAATTAGATCCGTTCACTGATATTGCGTCTTATAAATCCGTTGCACCTTATCGTTATTATTATTAGTTATTATGTGCACTCATTGACTTAGCTCACCTCATCAGCACACCATACATCTTTGCGGTTTATTAAACCTAAACTTTAAGCATTTTCTATACGCTTCCATCAATGACTGTAGTATGCAAGTATTCTGACCTTTCACTCCGACCATACTCATCGCTAGCTGTCCAACTATGGAATTACACATTGCATTTAGCGAAGTAGCAATCCGCCACTGAAAACTGTATTTCCTATTCAACCGTCATCTTACCTGTATCGGTCTCCTCTGTACACTCCTCAGATTTTGTATTTCATCAAAACACGCTCTTTTTCGTCCACTTCTCCTTGGTCTTGTTTCCAGATACTCGATTTTTTCTACGACCTCCGTTCGACGTCTTTGCGTAGTACATGACCAGTGCATATCACAAGCGGAATGCTGTTCTCAGTCTGGCGCTTTAGTTTTCAATGCTTCTATTATCGGTGGTTTGGCAAATTACTCCGTTCTAAGTTGGCTCCGATTTTTACATCTCTCACCCTAAACATCTCATTCCGCATCGTTCGTAGTGCATGTTGTTTCGTCCGACTTCATTCTAGTCTGCACAGCGTCTGGTCGAACTTCTCGCTCTACGTCTACGTCATTTGGTAACCCCAACTCAGGGGCGCTGGTTGATTCTCTCAACGCTATCGCATCGGTTGCTATTCGTCCTACCAACTCTGTGAGCACCGTTGACCATGCTAACATCGAAGTTCCTCGTGCACTTCTCAACGGGGAGGGCGAATCCACTTCCGTAATGGGTGGGACGGCGGAAGCTTCCCAGCTTGCGATCAAAATCCGTCCTGTCGCTGCCTGGTTGACAACAGTTCGTGAAGCTCTGGCTGCAGCTGTCGCTGGAGCTACCGCGTTGGACGCACGCGATGCGTTCGCTCAACAGCAACTGCAACAAGCGCAATGTCTTTTGGCACAAAAGTACAAAGATAGTCGCTCCTCTCTTTCTGGAGCTAGCAGAAGTGAACCAATGAAAGAAGAGGCCAAACTTCAGGGGTCGTTTGTTCTCGTTCAAAGTTCCCAAGGTTGTGACCGTGCCTTAGTTGTCGCTAGCCTCATTCAAATTATCTTGGATCCATATTCCCGGACGTACGAAGGGTTAGTTGAGCTCGTTTGCTTTTGGCCTCGCAGATGTGGTGTCTCATGCATGGCCCCGTCATTGCTCGATCTGTTCTGCTTTAAAATTGATATCTGTTACAATGCTGTCCTTCCATCTGGCAGACTGAATTGCTGACTAACCACGCTTTAAGTTACCTTTTTGAGCCGTGGAGTACAACCCATCCGTGTACTCGATCAACATCAGTACTCGATTCCGCCAAGCTTTTTGAGGTCTTTTTGTTTGGTCGGTCATCTAAGACTGTTTTTGCTGTTGCATTCACTGTGCGGCCCCCGCCGCGACATCGTGAGGGATGTCCTCCTTTATGGCAGAGGTTAAGGTTGCAATTGCACGGCATACTCCGAGATTTTGCACCTAGACGTACTGTAGGTCTACTGGGTGTATGTTTATGCGTTCCCCTGTTCCCATTACCAGCATATAATTACAGCGATGTGCATATATGAAACAACTTGCCATCTGCGCTATCCTTGTCAACATACTCTACTGAAGCGTTGTCTACCCAGGCCAATCCTAGTAGAACTGCCGCGGATGGCCAGTTTGCACCTGCTGATAAGTCCAGCGTTGCTGGGTATTCTGTGTCTACAGTATGACTCAGCCTTTTTCATCCGTTGGACTTCGATGCGTTTTTGCCAGGAATACATGTGACTGGGAGGCTCCATGCTAGCTTCGGATTTTAATTCAAATCATGAAGGGATCCATATTTTCTCTTTCCAGTCCTCATCTAGATTGCAGTCCATTGGATGGGCACAATTCTTTAATAGCTACTTTGTGATCAACTCTTTGCTACTAACTTGTAGGCCCCTAAATCCCTCATTCAGCCCGTTCTCTTTTTGCTCTTTCAGCTCCCTGTTCCTCATTTATTCGTAACCCTAGTTTCTCGCCATGTTGACTTGCGATCTAGTAGCTAGAATGGCTGCACTTTGCTTGCGTTCAGATAAGAAGCATAGGACATTTCTGTAATTTCCACTTAAGCATCACATGTGAGGTTTCTTTACTTTTACTCTTTTATCTCATAAGGTTTCAAATCTTAATCGAACGTTACTGGATCCAAGCCGGCCATCCGTTTACGGATCGCTGTAGTCATTCTGCATTTTCGCCTTTGACTTCTGGAAGTCATTCTCCGACATTTTTACTGTTTTTGGACTGTATTTGGCAGGTGAGTTGCGAGTCTTCTCGATAGTTCCGCATTGTACTGTCGTCTTTATGACACATCTACATCTTTGCGAAAATTTTGAATGCTACCGTTTCCTTCGCATATATTGGCCGTTTTCAATTTACCGCATCACCTGTGGTTGCTGATTACATACTGAACTCAATCTCTAAATTTACTCGGATGAATACTTTCTCCTTATGTTTTACGGGAAGTATTGTAGAATTTCTACAGTGCTTAACTTGTATTCCTGGATCCTTTTATTTTTATCTTGAGGTGTGGCTTTTCTCCTGGCCACCACTTTATTCTGAAGAGCTTTGGGATGTTTAACTCACCCGATTCTGTCTGATTACAATCAGATCATGATGTCGCGTTGGGGGTTTCTACATTGAATGCAACTTCAAAAACATAGTTCCTAGGTAACCGACCAAACAAAAAGGCCAAAAAACCTCACGGAATCGAGTACCGATGCTGACCGAGTACACGGATGGATCGTACTTCACGACTGAAACCTGTAAACCAACTGTAGGTGTCCACAACCGTTAATTCAGTCCGCCCGATGGAAAGACAGCAGTATGACAGATATCAACTTTAAATTAAGTGAGACCGAGAAATGACCGGGTCGTGCAGCAGACATCACATCTTCGTAATCACATGCAAATAAGCTCAATTAATCCCTCGTACGTCCGGGAATCTAGATCCAAGATAATTATTGGTTCCATCGTTGTTTCGGGGTCATTTCATTCTGTCATTCGAGAGGCTCAGTTGGAACACGAGGTCTGGTGGCTACGTACATTTCGTATAGGCATCTCCCGATTATATTCAGTTGGTACCGGACGCAGCCACCAGTTACGTTTGTTTTTACGTTTGATTGCACCTACTATCTATCGCATGTAATTGCCAGTTATTGACAGTGGTATGCACCTACTGAATTTCGTCTACTGCGCTTTTCAAATTATTATGGAGAACTACCCGCTTTGACTTTTTTGTGTAGGTTCGTCGCACGGGAACCCGGTTATACAATCACCACGTATAGGGAGAATGCTGAATACTGGTTACAAGCAGCAAGTAGAGTTTGCTCTGTGTAGCTGCATCAATCGTCACTCATGGACAAATACCCGTTATGTTGTGTACCGCTCAATATATTTTGCGTCGGCGAAGTGTTCGTCAAGTAACTTCTTAAATTCCGACACTGACTTTGCCTCAACTACGTGCTGCGGCAGGTCGTTCCATACATTCACCACTCTGCGTTCGAAACAGAGTTGGTGAGCGACCCGCTTCAAATCCGGTACGGCAAGCTTATACCGGTGTCCTCGTGTGCTGCTTGGTGTGCGCAGATGAAGCAGCGATATGCGCAGGTGAAGAAGCGTGATAAACAGCGGTTTCGTCCAACTGGGACACGACGGCAAGGCGCATCCGCCGAATCCTGATGCATTCTGACCCATAGCTCTTGCTTTGCTAGTGACTGACTAAGTAACCGTAGGGAATCGCCATCACTGATCACTAGCTGCGATATAGCGCGGCTCTTCCTCCAAAGCTATGCATGTTTCAACCGTGCACAGGACGAAGCCTGCCTGTCATTCCCTTCGTTTAATGGAATCAAGGGGAATTCGTCGTTTAAGAAATTTAAAACAGTTACTTCCCTATAGTAACTTAAAAAGCGCAATTGGAAGACGAAGTTCGGCAGATACATGCATTTCGTATCGTTTCATCTGTGCCGAAAACGATAATGGGTAATTTTATATAACAGTTTGTGGGTACAGACATACAAACAAAGGAGAGAACAAAGAATAATAATATAATGTTTCAGCTGTACGCCGTAACAGCGCTTCGCTGCCGCGCAACCACCACCAGTCGCGCGCGGGCTGAGGATACCGCGATGACGCCCACCCCTACGCAGATTCGAACCGGTGACCTTATGGTTTCAAAGCAAACGTGCAGACCACTCGGCCACCAGCCGACGGAGAGAAAAAAGGGGTGTCTTTGTTCTAAAAACCAGCGCAGCCTGAGGCTGACCAATAATTGTGTTGGAACACAAAGCACTGGCTTAATCCGATTAATGGCAATAGCCTCGGCAAACCGGAGGAGCCGGGAATTAGTATGGTGAAGCAGGATTCGAAATTCAAGTTGAATTTAGAAAGCACGCTGTGTGGTTGGGTTGCGACTCGCAACCTCTATTGAGACCTCGGTTCACTTTGAGGTAAACCTCGGTCATTCCGATCTCGAGGACCGTATCCTGAATGGATATATTTGAGTGATCAGTCAGCTTTTCGTCGTGTCATACCTTCACACTTGCATTGTGATGCACCATAAGCTAATTCTCAACAATGTACTCTCTGATAAAGTTGAGCAAAAATGGGGTAATTGGACAACCCTGGTAAACGCCACTTGTTGCCAGCATTGTTTTCAACAATTCTCTCTAGGCCCTGGCGCGATTTGTGATGTTCGAGTACGGCACGCGCACGGATCATGAAACGCTGGTAAATATACCCAACAGCATGTAACCATCCACCGGGTCGAATGTACTTCTGAAGCCGAGGAAGAACACTACAGTAGGCCTGTCTGTTTGGAAACGTTTTGAATCTTCTCCTGAAGCGTACTTTCTGCACTCTATTCACAGTTCCCTTTTTATGACGTTACCCTTTCATCGAAATTTACTAGCTTCTGGTCACTTTGCTCTCAGTTGCTCTTTCATCAGAGAAAGAAGACCAGGCAATCTAATTCAAACATCACTAATTCCCTCAGTTCTCTCTGTGTTCACTCCGTTTCGATGTGATTTATTGTTTCCACTCGTTTGCAATGAAGTTGATTTACGCGGTCCATCCTCATTCGCGATCATGAAAACAATGTCTCGTTTTTTATTACTTTTGACCATCATTTTCACCCTACTTTGATGTTTGTGTATCCCATTTCCCAGCTCTGGCAGCAGTATCCGAACTGCTTTCAATTTACCGATGAGCTCCTCTGTGCCCTTTCTCAACACGTCTACGATTCCGAGTTTGGTGAGCTGTGTCCTTTGCAACCACTTGGTAGTATGACTCGTTTCCTTTTCAATATTGTGATACTCAGAGTTACATGTGGTGCAACAGATGTTTCCCTGGATTCCTATATGATTTGTTTGGGTGGCACTACTCTCCCTTGTTCTCGTGTTAGACTGATTGACTCTGTTCATCCATTCGTTAATCTTAATCTCTCACTTGTTCCAGAGACGAGTACTACGCTTGCTCTTCATCCCGCACTTTTTAGGTATCGTTGCCTGCGCATGCACAGCGCGCGCAACTCCGCATATCAGCTTGGAAGATGTATATTGTATGTCGACCTCTATCGCGAAACTTCTTGATTTCTTTTTCCGTCATGATGTGAAGACTGTTTCTTGTTACAAGTTTGTTGTATAGGTATCAAACCTTTCTAATTTCTAGTAGAACGCTCTCGTGACTTCGGTGTTTGTAATCTACATCTAATTGCATTTCACGCCTTATTTTAATCGTCAGCGATAGTTTAGTGTATGTATACATGTAGTGAACTCCCTAGTTTGCTGCCGTTCAATCTACAGCAGTCTTGCATAGTCGCAACGACCGCGATTCACCAACACCCACATCCCTTACGTCTATGCTGGGAGTCTTGGGGCTACCTGACTATCTTCCTTTTTCTAGTTTTTGCAATTTTTCTAAGTATCGAAGTGATCCGCAGCTTGTCCAATTTCAGGCACTTTTCTTGGAAACAATATGAAAGAACGAGACGAGCTCAACATCGAGAGCAGCACGACTTCCATTTGGTGAGTTTTTTGTAATAATTTTCGCTACTCGTGACTCGTTGATTCACCTTTCGATCAATTGTTTCAACTCCGCTTACTGCCATTGCGACGAGACTGGATCTTAACGTGATGCAATGTTTTCTGTGCCTCAATGACCTATTGAGCTATGCTGAATGGTGCTTTTTGCACTTGCTACTCATACCAGATTAGTCAATGATCAGATCAGTTTGATGGTCCTCCAAGTTGGGGGTTGGAGTGAGAGCGGCTCCGTATTCCATAAAACGGGCTCTCTGTAGCCCAGTGCCAAAACCCCGCCGCCTTGCGATCAGGTTTTTAAGTCAAAGGCTTTGGTTGAGAACCCAAATCCTTCTCCTATCTAGGCGTGGGCAACCTGACAGTATTCTGCCCACGCAATATAACACAATCACTTTCTCTTTAAACGATCTCTTGATGCTCTGGCCGTCGCAGAGCATAATAAAGGGTGCGCGATCTGCTGCATCGAGCAGGGTGGATAAGGGTTTGGATGCTACTGCTCAGGCCGTCCTGTCTTCTTATTCCCCCTCTTGTGTTTTTTTCATCCTCATTGTTCCAATTTCACTATCATCCCACTATTTTCAATCCACAAATTCTTTGGCCCTCCTCTATCTTGCTTCAATAGTCGCTTGTCTTCTAGCATCATCTCACACGCAATCGCAGGGCGTCGCTCCAATCTAGTCGACAAGTCTATGTTCACCTAAGCGCACGTCAGTTCATCCATTTCCTTTTGGAGTCCTCGATCCTCGCTAAGACTGGCATGCCTCAACGTGCGCACTTTGCTACAGATTGGCCAACTGGCATCATTCGCCCGCACACTCGAGACCCTATCGATCGATATTTACTGTTTATCGGAAACCCACCTGCAGGATTCGAGCTCCGTAGTTACCCTGCGATCCCTCACATGTGACACTGGCGGTACATACTCATGTACCTGTCTGGCGATGATGCAGCTTCAAATGCCAGTCAAGCTGGCGTCGCATTGTTTTGAGTCCCCGGGCTAAAGCTGCACTGATCGATTAGATCCCAGTAAACGGTAGAATGTGCGCCGTTAGATTAGCTGGTTCGTTCCGTGCTACGAAGTCGCGCGGGGACAAACGGTGCCTGTTTGTCATTGCGGCTTACGCTCCTACAAACTGTAGCACTGATCCGGTAAAAGATGATTTCTATCAACAACTTCACGAGCTCCCTCGTTACAGAAGAAGTACGGCTACTGTGGTGTTGGCTGGCGATCTAAACGCCCAACTCGGAAAATTGTCCTCTGATGAGCTTCATCTGGGTGGCCAACATGGTGTAGGCTGCCGTAATGATAACGGTGAGCGATTGCTACAACTGTGTGAAGATGCTCGCCTCTTCCTCGCGAGCACTAATTTTCGACACATTACCGGCAGAAGCGTGACTTGGCGGTCACCAGCCTCGGGCCAGCTATAGATGCAAATCGATCATATCGCGATCAGTTACTGCTGGAGAGGCTGTGTCCAAAACTGTCGCTCGATTTGGAGCACGAGCATGGACTCTGACCACACACTTGTCTGCACCGACCGGGTGCGTTTCGGTGCACATCCGCGACGTCGATGTGAACGGATTGACACCAGCCAGCTGGCGAAGCCAGATGTTCTGAATGCGTATCAAAGTACGCTGGTATCCGGGCTGAGAAAGAGCCCACTGAAGACTGTTAAGGATCACTGACCGCATATCTGCCGGACATTACTATCAGCAGGCATGTCTTCATATGGCAAATGTAATTGCCAACCTGGACATGGGGTCTCTACACAATCTCTGTCACTTCTGTACGCTCGCCGATGTGTTCCGGCAAGAAGTGAACTTAATAAGACTCGCAAAAATCTCAGGGGAAAACTGCGTGCTAGTCTGAAGTGAGACCGCTAATACTGCTAGTCTTATCTTGCATCAGTAATGCAAACAGCTGCTACCCTTTTTAATCGCCGTAAGTCATTCGATCTGATACGGGAAACAGGCAGCAGGAGACCTGGTGTTAGTGAGAATATACACGATGAGAGTGGACAGCTTGTCAAACGCTTGGAGCGTTAGGTCGAATACTTTGCAAACCAGTCTAACCAATCTGAGTTATCAGTTTCTTTTTCGGGCATTGCTTGCCCTTCTTCCTGGGCCATCTCCTTAGTTCCGCCCTCACGCGCGAGTCGAACGTGAGATCAGACTGTTTAAACTGAATAAGACCGCTGGGGTAGACAGAATTCTCCCAGCGCTCTTCAAATTCGAGGGACCTGCTTCTCTAGATGATTTACACGAGTTACTAGTGAAACTGGAACCGTTCCATCGTAGATCCAACTTTTAAAGGAGGCTCCCGTTCAGAATGCGGCAGTCATAGCGGAATCAGTCTATCGTTCTCCGAAGACTGACTGACACTCCTGAAAGTCAGATTCGCGAGTCGCAAGCCAGGTTTCGTCGAGGTCATGGCTGCATCGAACACATCTTTACATCGGTTCTTGCTGCACCGCCATATTTATGGGCGATCCACTGCAGTTGTATTTCTCGACATCAAAGCTACCTTCGATTCGGTTGATCGATATGTTCTTTGGGACTGTTTGATGACAAAAGGTGTGCCCGAGAAAAATGTAAATGTTCTAAGAGCGCTGTACGCGCATAGTGAGGATTTATGGCAAACTACCGCCGCCGTTCAATATCTTCAGCGTTGTGAGACAAGGTTGCCCGCTGTCACTTTTCCTCTTCAGCTTCGCCATTAACGAAGTCATGGAAACAGCGCTTGCTGGACACGACTTATAAGATGTGGAGTTTCTTCATGGTGAGCGAATTCTTGAGCTGCAGTATGCTGACGACATTGCCGTAATCTACGACGGCGCCCAAACGTGGCAATCAGCACTAGACAGACTAACACTGGATGTCGGTCGTTTTGGGCTCTCCTTTGCTCCCTAGAAATCAACTTCTCCATGATTGGCAGGGAGGCACTCCTGCGTTGACCCTTGGTGGTGAACGGCTAGAAGTCGTTTAGTAATTCAAGTACCTGGGCAGCTATATTAGCGCCCATGGGGTCGTAAATGAGATCACGAACCGTATAGAAAGAGCTCGAGGTGTCAAACTCCGCCACCTGTGGCGCCGACGCGACATCACTGACTCCCTGAAAAACAGAGTTTATAATGCAACCGTCCGTTCTACCCTCTAATAGAGTTGTGAAACCTGGCTCCTCAGGTCGACAGACATAGTAAGGCTAGCTGCGTTCGACCATCGCCGCCTCCGCAACTTAGCTCATGTCTGGTGGGAGCACCGCGTGAGCAACGAGCATGTTCGGCGTCGGGTATTTGGTGCAGGAAGAGCTAGTGAAATGCTCAGCACCATCATATCACGCACCAGGTTCCATTGGCTTGACCGCGTGTTGTGCATGTCAAGCCACCGACTCTCTCGATGTGCGTTTGCTTGGGCGCCTGCGGTCTGGATGGAAGAGAAGAAGCGGAGGCAAACCAATGATCGATCGAGGGTAATGAAAACTCTCACTTCGAAGTTGGCGACGGTTGATGCATCCCGATTGCCTGACTGCAATCCTAAGGACGATGAATACGTTTGGTTGGACACACTTGCCTGTTATGGCGGAGAGCCGGCCCCAATGACGTTTGTGTTGTGAGTTCCTTTGTCCCTCCCCTCCACTTTAGATTTCCCCTCTAATTATTCTCATCTTATAGGAAATGAATAATATCCTATTTGTAACTAAATAAATAGACGATTTATTCTTGACGATGCGTGACATGATCATGGTAAAACAAACGTGTAACATCGGTAATGGTACAGAATTGTTATGATTTAACCAGTGCATACTGGATATATGTGTGTATGTATGTAGGTGCATGTGTAAGTAATCGTGTTATGCGAGTTTTTTATTATTACTGTGAATTTGTGAGTTTGTTCGGTGAATGCGCCAATATAGGAAGGGATCAGATGAAATCTTTGCAGTGGTTGACGTTCGCGAAATGTGTAAGATCCTCCGGTATGGCAAGGCAGTGACTTTATTTAGTGGCGAGTCATATCCGCCACGTCACAGGGTCGTTAAGCAGACATTTGTGACTTTTTATAGGGAGAACGTTTGCTAGGCTAAAACTCACCACGTCCTGGAACACTGTCGCCTAACTATTAGCTGGACCGGGATTAACCCAAACCACCCAGCTGGCACCACGTGGAGGTTGTTCGGCCAGCAATCGGCCGTCTTCCGTCGGCTTGGAAAGTGAGCATCGTCCAACCCATCTACAAAGGATGAGGTCGACTTTATCCAGCAAATTATCGTCCAATCTCTTTGTCGTCGATAATGGGTCCTAAAACTGGCTGTTCATCTTCATCTTGAGGGAGAGATTGTCATTTCTTACACTCAGCATGGGTTCGGAAAAGCACGCTTCTGTACCTCCAACTTCCTCGTTGCTACGAAGACATGGACAAGGTCATTAGACTCTGGCAAATGCTTGGACGTTCTGTTTGTTGCTTTCAGCGAAGCCTTATACAAAGTCCCGCATGAACGGCTTCTGTTTAAACTCCGAAGAATCGGTATTTATGAGAACCTCCTGTCTTGAATCTCCGACTGGCTAAACGACTACACCATTCAAGTGAAATTGAATGACATTTTCCGTCCTTGATCTCATGACGAGTGAGGCCCCACAGGGCTCTGTCCTCAGCCCCGTACTTTTCAATATCTTCATCAATGTCTTGCCTTTCACTCTTCAGACGGATCACCTAATCTACGCTGATGACTTAAAGCTGTGGATGAAAGTGCCCAGCCTGGAAGGCGATGACAGATTACAATTCACGCTCGATTTACTCCATGTCTCGTCGATTAAGTGGCAGTTACCAGTGAATCCTACTGAATGCTTCATTCTCCACCTTGGCGCATCTAACCCATTTGGAGCTTGCCGCATTGGTGGTACCTTGCTCAGAAACGCAACCCATGAAAGGGATAATGGAGTGATAGTGTCATCAACCCTCAAATCAATTCATGACACCCAGCAAAGGGTCGCAACGGCCTATAGGATGTTTCATTCTATTCGTAGATGGTTTTCTCTCCTTACCCCGGAACTCTTCCGGCTTCTGTCTGTTTCACATGTACGCCCGATTCTTGAATACGTGTTACCCGCTGCTTATCCTCTCACCAAATCCGAATGTGATATGATAGAGAAGGTTTAACGGCATAGATCCAAATCCGTCCCTGAGTTGCAAGACTTATCTTAACCACCCCGACTTCAACGGCTGAACTTGTTCCCTCTAGGTTACCGTCGTCACCGCGGAGATTTGGTATTCACTCGACGTATTCTTAGAGCAGAGCTGGGCGCGTGTTACAGGACTGCTTTCAACACAACACAGCGTTCGGCACGAGGTCACCGCTTGAAACTGTTCAAACCGAGGAATCTCCGTGTGCTGCTCAATCTGGCCTTATCAGCTTGCTTAGTGAATGATTGATAGCGGTTACCGGACCCATCGTCGATGATGAGACAGAGGAATGTTTCAAACAACTGTTGGATTCTCATCTGAATATGCTGGGATTCTGCTACTTCTAACACAGCTACAGTGATGCTCTGCGGAACCTTGTTTCGCAATGGCCCTTGCCATCTCCGCAATGATCGAGCGGTGAAGTAGCTGACAAATGATCGTCCTTTTGGTCCCTCTCGTCCAGTTATTCAATAGACTGGCCCTTTGTGTGAGTTTTACTTCTCCTGGCAAGCAGTATCTCCCAATAATTCAATATCATTGAAGAATCGGACATGCGCTACGATATGAGCGTCGTTGTCAGGTAAAGTAGGTTCATCTAATTGTAATGAAAATTTTATGGACTGTAGTAAACTAACTTAGGTACTTTCTTTGTCCCGAACCATCTCATATCTTCGTCTAGATGTATTATACTATTATTCAACACTTGATCAACGTACACTTGGCAGTGCCACAACACATACTTAACAACAACAAAAAAGGGGGAAAGGAGGCAGAGTGAAATGGTTTGGAAATTTTACTAGGTTAATGTGTTGTGTGGGCAGAGATCTTCCCGGTTGCCCAGGTCAAGGAAGATGGTTGACTTAAAAAACCCCACCCCGAGCCTTTGGTCTTAAGACCTAACCCGCAAGGCAGCGGGTCGATTAACGAAGACCGTTGACATCTGGGTGACTCTCCGCCTTCTTGGTGTTCAGTAGCAGTTCACAGAGAAGTCGGTAGCCAACAAAGTTGTTCATCCGCTCTCCGTTAGGTACTTATTTATGGTTACAGAAGTGAGTGGTCAGTGACCCTGTAGCCTGTCACATCGGCTTTGACACAGCGCCGTACGAGCTCTTGTGGTATTTGATGGAGAACCAGATGACCAGTCCAGAACTCCCCACACTCTGAGACGCTGCCGCTGATTGTCCGCGACTGCTTATTCATCTCGGCTGCAAGGCAAACGAGACTTATTCGCAGTTACCTCCACGAGGAAGGCATTCCCCAATCCTCAACCTGAGGACGCGCCCGCTAGCGTACAGCTCCGCCACGGGATATTCGCCTAGATACAGTCGAATTGCTGAGCAGAATGGCTTGAACTGCTTCTCGTGGATTCACATTCATCAGGTCAGACATTATTAATGATTCTGAACGCAAGCTAATATTTTCTTCAACATTATTTGGACTACAATTTTTGACAATCAAATTGCTGATTTTCTAGGACGCCGTAATTCCATTCGCCTTTTTGGGCCCTGTTAGAAATCATTGTTCTTAAAGTTGGTTTTTCTTGTAACTATCCTGCAGCTTTCTGAAAAAATCCACAAACTTTCCGCTTTCGTCCTTATGAACACCTTCCAAATGATTTTTAAGTTTACTTGGTCGCATACTTCTGCTTAAAATTGTACTGGCAAATTAAACACAGGTAGAGAGCGCTTTCCAGCTGATGCAATAAATCCAAATGACAGTTATTCCACGGAGTACTGCCGACACTTGGCCGGGGAGCTCATTTCTGAAATGTTATTACAAATCGTTAACATGTAATATACGTATATATACTACTTTTGTTTTATTTTTCTTAGAGATCTATCATGGGTATTAAATTGCTTCATTCGACATGGCGAAACACTCAGGTAGTATGAGGGATTGGTGGTACTAAGTTTCTTCTTGCCTGACCTTGAGTTGATAATATACGACATTTGATAAGCATACTTGTAACATCTGTTGGTGGCTTCATTGGTAAAATCTTAAAGTGTAGAAACACTGTTAGAGGCAACCCAAAGGTGGTTTCTGATAATGATTTTGAACATATCGTCGATAGCTAAGATGACTGAAGTAAGCTTCTGGACAGAAACATATAAAGAAAACAAATAGAGCTCAGGAAATGACAATGGTCACTATATATATATATGTGTGTGTGTGTGTGTGCCCCATGCTGAGGTTGATGTCGCATTCATGATGCTTCTTCATCGCAGTTGGGCTAAACCAACTTACCCTTAAACTAGGTTTTTTAATGTGCATGAAATTCATTACATTTTATTTTTTTGTTTTGTTCTGCGTACTTGTAAATCTTCTCCCAACTTACACAAGTCTCTCACGCAAATTGTGGTGAAATTGCGTAATTTTATCGCGTGGTATTTTTTTGAATAACTTTCGGACATTTTGTACTTATCGCGTATTCACATTTAACCAATTTCTTCCATATGCCCATTTGGCGAGTATTTATGTCGTCATATGCGTTTACTTTATTCGATATCGGCATTTTGAGTGATTGGCTGTTGTTTGACATCCGAGGTGTGGCTGCGCTTGATGTGCATGTTGACAAGGTGCTTACCTGTCTATTACCCACTACATCGTCCATACTGGCTCTAGGAGACAGTTAGTCGTTGCTGGGGGGGATGGAGTGCACGGTCCTTGTGGTCGTGCTAGGCTCGAAGAGTGGTTCCATGCCCTCAGTGTGGAGTGGACTACGGTCCAGCCACCGCCTCGTGTGCGCTTGGTTCCCCAAATACAGCGTGCTTGTGTTTGCCTGTGAAGGAGTGTGGGCCGGCTCCATTGATGAAACCTTGCTCCCATTCGCATGCCTCCCGGTCTTATTCCTTCGGGTTTACACTGGATATGGGGTGTGTGGTTGGAGCTGTGGGTGGTGCAGCGCAAGTCACTCGTTGTCCCTCTGTAGGCGCAGGCGTCCTGTGGCTGGCCACAGTGACAGGCAAATCCGAAACCGGATGCCACCAACCATATATATATATATATATATATATATATATATATATATATATATATATATGATTACAGATAATGTCCCATCAGAAGCATGGCGAAATAGAGGGGGGAAACAAAATACAACTTGAGAATAAAACAACTTTTTAGGTTTTACTTATTTCTTTTTGTGTTTTATGTTCGATGAGACGTTAATTAATAGATAACGCGCTTGAACAGCACTGTCTCCAACGTTTTTAACTACCGGCAGTCCGAATCGCGTGGTCCCCATCCTGGAAGCCGGACCAGTCCGACGGATGTTAAGTTTGCGGTTGCATGCATGCATTGCAGGAAAGTTGTAGCGCACAGTGACAGCAGGTAAAATGACGAACAATAGGGTCACATAGAGGTAAATGCCGAATAGTTCAGAAAACTAACATTGGAGTGTCAACAAGGAAACTAAAAACGTCATACATCAGCTATTGCCAAACGGCGCTAAATGCGTGCTTGCAAGACATTTGATTATTGTGAATATTAGTAGAAGTATCCTTATGTACACATTAAGTTCTGTATGCTCACCACGTTAACCAGATGTCCACACGTATGATGTAAGTTGACAAAACAGAACTCAGTATTGAGAAAACGTCATAACGCATCCTAGTTGTTTCGGCTCTTAGTCAGATCAGACTAACGTTCTTCAGGGATAACACCCCATGCGCGCAGAGTACTCACTCGCATTTGGAACCTTGTGGGCACATGTACCTAGCCGCCAAATGTTCACGCGAGCTGAGACTGGAGACAAAATAAGCGTAACCTAACCCTACTGCACTGAGATCAAACGAGAAAGGGAGACTGACCGGCACATGAGTTGTCATCCAGTAGTATTGTCCTCAGGAAAACTGTTAGTGTCTGTGTGGCTTTGTGCAGTAACTGCCGCAGTATTCTGAGTAAAGCTCAGTTGGTTCACTGTGCATAAGCATCAAAGTGCTGAGGAGGAATCTGTTGTTAGTTGCGCAGTCCAAGTCGCCGTAAGGTGATTTGTGTGTTTGAAGTGAGCCCGGCGAAATCTGCGCAAGTTTGGTGAGGCTATGCCAGCTCCGCAACAGAAAATCTGCCTGGTCTGACTTTCACACTTTCATAACCAGCCAATCGCGTATGCGTAACTCACTTCATTGTCCGCTAGTTACCAGGGGAGATTAGCGCGCGGAGAGAAACTCAGAATTATTTTAATGCCCTTTGTTATCACGACTCAATTTTTACAGCATGTTCCCCATGGCCCCTTAGTAAATTTCTCATTCCAGGGCCCCCGTGAATTCTCTATGGTCTCCATGGGGGCCATATAGCTCCCGTTGAGAATGGCTACTAGTTCATTCGTGTACAGCCTTGGCTACCACCGGCTCGCTCCATTGTCCTAACCCTTTGCAACAGTCCAAGTCACCTATAGTTCCAGCATTTCAGATGCTCTTACAACCATAGTTTTGGATACATTTGTCAGCCGATGCCACTATTTTATGAGTCCCTATGGTATGGAAAATAACCTTAAGGCTCTACAGTGTATGATGAGTTATTTTGCAGATGCACTGTGTAAGCCGAAATAACAGAAAACCTTATCGCCAAGTGAAACCACCTTTGTCGTTTTCACCGCACTGCTCAGAGTAGTGTCGCACAATGCTATCTGCCTTCTAGATGACATAACAGTCCCCATCAACTTACATCCTTATTCCAACAAATTCCTCACCACATCACATGAGATTATCCAAAGTTCTCTTTCTTCTACTCCCTAGGACCTTCCTTCAACAGCCAAAAGTGCGAAAACGTTACACTAATCCCCTCTTTGCCTATACAAAAATTTCCGGAAACCAGGACAACTATGCATGCTGGCCGTGCTTAGCTCCACAGGCTCTGGTGAGTCCGAGTATGACGGTTTCTTCTCGTAAACCGTCTGCATTTAAGGGAGACTGATTTGCTCATAAATATTTCATCTTTGGAGGAAGATGGGGGAGTTATAGGCGAACAGTACAACCAGTTTAGAAGAACGCTAGTCCGAAATTCATGATTGCGCACCAACATAAACTGGCTCATTGGCTAGAGAAGATACATTCTGAAACAAGAGGCTTATCCAAACACTTATGGCCTAGATGAAATCAACTGTCAGACAAATTCATGTGCTCCTTGTATTTCGAACCCTTACATACCAGCATCCCACTGCATCCGACGATTGATTACTTGTGCGAATTAGCTGAATACTCTGGCTGCTTGTTACCAGTTCCGATGGACTTACTATACTTGATTTATTTACGCTGATGATCGGAAGAGATATTTCCACGGAAATAGCCCAAGTATCATACTACAAACGCTATCTTGATGGCGTTTTTGTTCATGGGAGCATACAGTCAATAGAGAACATTAACGGAGCACATGCGAACTTACATGTCACCAGCAAAGTGAATTGGACGCATTATCCACCGTCATGATTCACAGAAAGGATGGATTTTCTGAGTTATCCGTTTACTGAGAAGCAACTTGCCCTTCACTAGCATCACACCAGTGCTGTATAGGCGAACACTCGTGAAGACTCTAGTTAGTTGTATTAGACGATTTTGCTCGACTGACTTGCCGATGAGTTGGCGTTAGTTACAACACTACCGATGGTGGACGGCTACCCTCTAGTATGTATCGAGCATTATATATATATATATATATATATATATATATATATATATATATATAGTGCGAGTTGGTCCCGATAGGCTGAGCTTCCGTTGTTAGATGCACTAGGAAATTTCTGATTCAGTTGACGAGGACAACTTTTGCGCAATCGACATTATACGTTTAGTCGGTTTCAGCGTGGTGAAATAAACTTTGAAAGCTAACACCATATGGATCTTCTTCTTGACTGTCGTGAACACCAAGATCTTCGATCCACACAATTGACTGTAATTCTCGATACATACTAGAGGGTAGCCGTCCACCATCGGTAGTGTTGTAACTAACGCCAACTCATCGGTAGAGCCTATGATGCGCTGAGACTGGTGGTGGCTAGATCCTGACAGATGGTCTACCCACTGCTGCTACTGTTGTGCCATGGGCTCATGTCCTGGTGTCCTCCTCGTGGCGACCGCTGGGTGGGAGCTGGGTTAACCCCTTCTCCCTGCTAAGATCCAGGACACCAAGCCACATGAGTCAGTGAACTGACCATGTGCTAGACCCGCTGCCTTTCGAGTGTACATTTGGCTGAGGACCCGAGTCGTTCTCCTGTCAGGTGTGGGCGCCCTGCCAGTATCCTAGTCCATCTTCTTCGGAGGTGGGTAACTTGTCTACGGTCCTCATCCCGTAGAACCTAGCCATGGGAGACAACAGGTTTACGGGTTATATTCTCAATGCTCGATTGGCGTAGAGCACGAGCGGCGGGCATTGTCTCTGACGGTGAGAGGGCACCTCCGGGTGCTCAATGGTTTGCTGCTGCCCTCCTCAAGCCAGGCAGCCCCTGGTCAACTTGGTGCAAACCCGCCTAAACCCACTTGCGTCTGGCCTTGGTCGCAGGTGCGTATCCTACGACGGTCGCAAAACACACATGTATCGTTCCAGTACCTCAAAGTCTGTGTGTGACTGCCGTCAAACAGATCCCAATTTGTTACTTCAGTAACATTTCCGAGCTGGATCTGCTCCCCACTGCCTTTTAGGTCAAGCTGTTGGGCGAAAGGCTCCGGGCGGAGTTCGTCAAGCAAACCTCTAAATCCCCCACTGCCTTGTGGGTCAGGCTATTGAGCCAAAGGCTCCGGGTGGAGTCCCTCAAGCAAACCTCCGAAACACAATCGCCACCTAGCGTGCGATTGCCCACCAATGCAATTCTATGCCTGTGCGCAAAGCACTCAGCATCGGGTGCTGGAATGTGCGCACACTAATGGACCGGAACTCCAGTGAGCGCTCGGAGCGACGCACTGCACTCGTCGCGATGGAACTGGCTCGCTACCACGTCGATTTTGCGACGCTCAGTGAAACCCGGCAACGCCACCTCGGCACCACGTGCTTATGGGGTCGGATTTTCAATATCCGATCGCCTTCATGACCAACTGGTGGGTGAACCAACTGGCAACAGCGCGCGAATGATGACTGTTCGTCTACAACTCTGAAGTGGCAACTTTGCCACTTTTCTAAGCACGTACGGTCCGACCATGTGTTATCCTGATGACACGCGGGATCAATTCTACACTCAGTTATCCTCCGTCTGTCTGTCTTTTTCAGCCTTCACCGGAGGTGCAATCTTCAAGCTTGCCGCGAATCGGCATTGGTGCCGAAGTATTGGAAACCACCTCCTGCTTCTGCTACCTTGGGAGTGTGATGTCGACTGATCAGCAGCTTCACAGTGAGCTATGTATCCGAGTATCGAAGGCAGCGACGGTATTCGAGAAGCTAGAGTACCGAGTGTGGAACAACCATCAGCTTACCATTGGCACGAAGCTGATGGTGTACAAATCCATGGTGCTTTCCATTCTTCTATACGGCAGTGAAGCGTGAACGATGTACCGGCGAGATGTGCGATATCTCGAGCGGCTCCATCAACACTGTTTGCGACGGATTCTGCCCATCTGTTGGTGCGACAGAGTTGCGGACACGGAAGTGTTGCGCCGAAGTGGGATGTATGCAGTGGACTACATACTTTTACTGAGACACCTGAGGTGGCTCGGTAATGTGAGCCGTATGGATTCGATGCGGATACCGAAACAGCTTTTGTATGCTCAACTGAGTATTGGGAAGTGGCATGTGGTGAAACCGAAATTACGTTTCCAGGACATGATCAAAGTGAGCCTCTCACGTTCTAATCTTGATTGCAGGTCATGGGAATCGAAGGCGGTAGATGGGCGTGTATGGCGCGATCTAATCACGAAGGCAGTTGCCGAGGTGCAGGAGAAAGACCTCATGCATGCAGAGATGAAGCGGCAAGTGCGGAAGCGGCAAGCACCGATGGGTTGTACTCCATCGATATCGAGCGCATAGTGCTGTAAGCACATGCGGGGTTGCGTGCTGAGTCACTTTATTTCACGTGGTGCATTTGCTATATTGTCCTAATGCTTTTTTATCCCATATTAATGTCTACCTGAACTATCTTCTATTATCTTGCACACGTCGCTAAAGCTGATTGTAGTTAACTTCGATAAGATTTTCGTGGTTGTGCTATTTTCTTATGATATATTTTTTGACGTATTGAACCTTTCGCGGATTTGTTGGTCACCAGTTTATTTCATATGCTCATTTAGTGAGGAGTTATGTCACCGTATCTGTATGCACTATTCGATTTATTTTATTTGATATCGTCGTTTCAAGTGATTGTCTGTTGCTTAACATCCCCGGTGTGGTTGCGCTTGATGTGCATGTTGACAAGGTGCCTACCTGTCTATTACCGCCTACCTCGTCCATACTGACTTCAGGAGACAGTTGGTCGTTGCTGGAGGGGACGGGGTGCAGGTCCTTGTGGCTGTGGTAGGCTCGAAGAGCGGTTCCATGCACTCAGTGTGGAGCGGACTACGGTCCAGCCACCGTCTTGTGTGCACTTGATTTCCCAAATACAGCGTGCTTGTGTTTGCCTGTGAAGGAGTGTGGGCCGGTTCCGTGGATGATACGCTGCTCCCATTCGCATGCCTCCCGGTCTTATTCCTTCGGTTTTACACTGGATATGGGGTGTGTGGTTGGAGCTGTGGATGGTGCAGCGCTAGCCGCTCATGGTCTCTCTGTAGGTGCAGGCATTCTGTGGCTGTGCACAGTGACAGGCAAATCCGAAACTGGATGCCGCCAACCAAGATATATATATATATATATATATATATATATATATATATAAATGGCGGAAGAGCCTATGGTGCGCTGAGGCTGGTGGTGGCTAGATCCTGACAGATGGTCTACCCACTGCTGCTACTGCTGCGTTATAGTCTCATGTCCTGGGCGCATCCACGTGGCGACCGCTGGGTGGGAGTTAGGTTTCGCCCTTCTCCCTGCTAAGATCCAGAACACCAATCCGCATGAGTCAGCTAACTGACCATGTGCTAGACCCGCTGCCTTTCGGGTGTTCATTTAATCGAAGGCTTTGGCTGAGGACCCGAGTCGTTCTCCTGTCAGGATAGTGCGCCCTGGCAGTATCCTAGTCCATCCTCTCCGGAGGTTAGGAAGTGGTCGATGGCCCACTTCCCGTAAAACCTAGCCATGAGAGACAACAGGTTACGGGTGATATTCTCAATGCTCAATTGGCGTAGAGCACGAGTGCCACGCATTGTCTCTGACGGTGGGAGGACACCTCCGGGTGTTCAATGGTTTGCTACTGCCCGCCTCAAGCCAGGCAGCCCCTGGTCAAATTGGTGCAAACCCGCCAAAAACCCACCTGCGTCTGGCCGTGGTCGCAGGTGCGTATCCAATTACGGTCGCAAAACCTATGATAATTGTTCCAGAACCTCAAAGGCTGCGTGTGACTGCCGTCAAGCAGATCCCCATCTGTCTCTGCAATCACGTTCCCGAGCTGGATCTGCTCTCCACTGCCTTGTGGGTCAGGCTATTGAGCCAAAGGCTCCGGGCGGAGTCCCTCAAGCAAACCTCCAAACCACCCACTGCCTTGTGGGTCAGGCTATTGAGCCAAAGGCTCCGGGTGGAGTCCCCCAAGCAAACCTCCAAACCACCCACTGCCTTGTGGGTCAGGCTATTGAGCCAAAGGCTCCGGGTGGAGTGCATCAAGCAAACCTCCGAAGCACAACGACCACCTCGCGTGCGATTGCCCACCAATGCAATCGTATGCCTGCGCGCAAAGCACTCAGGATCGGGTGCTGGAACGTGCGCACACTACTGGACCGGAACTCGAGCGAGCGCCCGGAGCGACGCATTGCACTGGTCGCAATGGAGCTGGCGCGCTACCACATCGA